GTTGGAGCCCAGGTTGGTCGTGAACTGGGCTCAATCGCATGAGGGGGCCGGGGAAGGGAACAGCGCTGGTTGAAGCACCACATGGGACCACACCTGTTTGTTTAGGAAGGTGCTCTCGGGCGATGGAGGGCCATGGTGTCCTTTTTCATCCTTCTTCCCTCCATGTGCCAATGAACTGCGGACGAAAGAGAGGACGATGTAAGCCTTGCAAACTGGCTTGTCTCAGAGCAGAGGGGAGCCATGTTCCTAGAGTATCCTAGATTACATCGGGGTTTTTGTGTAGAATGACCAGTAAAATAGGCATCGGTGCATCCACTTCAAGACTTGCCGAGTCGCGTCCAGTCGCTGGAGGGGTCCGAAGAACTACTTCAAGGATTGGACCATGGCTTGGCCACTTCTGATGGGTGAATTGGGGTCCAAGGACCATGCCTGCACTGAAAGGAAGATCAATTGTATGGGGATGGGTCATGACCTGGAGCCCCAACACCAATTTCTGGTCCCTCCAGGTAGGTCAACCAAACTTTCTCCTGGTTTTGACCTACAGCCATCTCACTTGTCATATTGCTTCAGGTAAATATCAATAGGTTGACAGATGACCATTAATGGATGGGATGGTCACAGTGATAGACATTGCAAGCCGTTTGTAGGGTGAAGAACGTTGAAGAACGGGCACGTATACGGAATCGATATAGTACTCGTGATCCGTGGTAGTCACAAGTGAGGAATCGGAAGCCCCTTGAGCACTCCCGGACACTTGGAGCCCGTCAGGGGCGGCGCATCGCCCAGGTCCGCAACACCTTCTGGGCAGTCGAAGGTGAAGAGTGCCGCGAGCTCCGGCCCCAGCGCCGCTTCCACACAACACCCTCAGCGCCTCACGCCTAGCCTGAGAGGCTTTTTCGCTGAGAGATCGAACCACATCTGAGACATGTCGTGTTTTATAGCCCCTTCTTTTCCCACCACGATGGGTGGCCGTTTTGGGATGGATGCCCAGATGGCAGGATGCCAGTCAGGTCTGCATGAAACAAATATGTGATGTAATGTTGCAGAAATGCTGACCCCAAACAACCCAAGAAGCGAACCACACCTTTTTGGTCCGTGAGAATTGTTTCTTTGCTTTTTTCTCGGTTCCTGGGAGCTGCAAATCCAAGCTCAACAAGGCATCCACCCACCCAAGCAGGACTTGGTAGCAAATCGGACACCTGCGCCTCGAGCGGCTCCGATGAGAGAACACTTCGTCGGAGCTGGGGGTCCAAGCGTAGACGGCGTAGACTTGACAAAGCGACGTAGATGTGGTTCAGTATTGGAGTGTCATGACCTTATGGCGCGTACCGTTTTGGGGATGACAGGGACTGTTAACTCTATATTCTGACTAGACTCTATAGACATCTCTAGACTTATGGTGCCAACTGTGACATGAGCGTTACTTTCCTCAAAGATGGCGTTGGGGAATCTTTGACCCAGCCGGAAATGGACGCCAACTGCGTTTGACGCTCCTTGAGACCCCCCGAGGCTGCATGAAATTCAGGCTTCATGGAAAATACGTGAGGCTCCTGCCGGCTGGTGAGCCAGCGAGTTGTACAGTCCTCGCTGCCAGCTGTGGTGCAGAAAATGACTCCCAGTCGGGCAGGATTTTATAGAATTCACCGCGTTGAAGCATCGAATTACCTGTCCACCGGCCGCGCCCAGCTCGTGCATCCAAGCTGGCTTAGCTTGCTCGCGATGGGGCGACCGAGAGGAACCGCCCGGGAGCGACCGCACCCGGATGGACTCGTGTCCAGAACTTGCTGAATTTGTAAAGGCGGGTAGGTCCGACATGGTCCAAGGTCGGGACAGCTACTTGATGGATGGTGCATGTGTCTAGTCGCCAGAAGCTTCCTGGGCCCAGATGTATAGCTCCTGAGCTATGACATCTTCTGGAGGTGCAACCAAAAAGAACCGACGCTGCCCACAGACTGAATCCTACATGATTTGTACATGATGCATGGTGGAAGACGACCCCGTCTTGAAAACCTAGTAAAGTATCGCTCGATTTCGATGGATTCCTTGACGGTGAAGGTGGGTTTAAGCGCGCTTAAGCGCAGATGTGCTGGTGCAAGCTGAGCGCCTCAGGGTGAGTTGAGGTGCGAGATCGGGACTGGAATTTCCAAACCACTATAGGGACAATAGTTCAGTGGCTCATCAATAGCTCATTAACAAAAACATTGCAGTTACTGGTTCTTCAAGGTGACCTTTTGATAACCTGCTTTGAGGTCACTGAAGCCTCCTACGGGTCACTTCGGAACCTTCAAAAGGTCACTTTGAAGAAGCACTGTACCTTGTTTGGTTCAATTGGGAGAAAACTCTTGGTGCCGCTCGGACACACATCGAACATGACCTGGGAGACGGGCGATGCTGGCAGGTTGAGTTAGTCGGAAACTCCTCCAAAGCGTTGAAGTTTTAGGAATGGAGATCTTGCGGAGTGAGGCCCGGCCGCAGCTCAGGTGGTTGTCCTGCTGATTGCTCCTGGGCTTTCAGAAAGCTGAGGTATGGGGAGCTGTTTCAGCTGTGGGAAATCACCATCACCTGGGCCGAAGCGGGGTGATCAATTGCAAGTACAGTTCATTTGACTGGAGTGTTGCTGTTGCGCATGTGCTTGTGTTTGTTGTTGGTGGTGGTGCTTAACACATGCCTCAACTATTCAACTGCCCAAGCAGTTGAAGACAGCTCGTGCAACACAGCGCTTGAGACGGTAGTGTGCTGCCAGTGGGTCATTGCGCCCATTATAGCATATTCGATGATATTCCACAGCGTCCCGTATATTCACGCTCCGGTTTCTGGGCTTTTGGCAAATCCTTGTCGTATATCTCCCGGTCCCACTGAATAGCTTCAGTTGCACCAAAGTTGGTCACTAGTCATTCAGAATCCGTCCCTTTCAGAAGCTTCTGCTGACTTCGTCAGAGACTTTGGCAGAACTCTCACCAATTCTGGGATCATTCCCTCATCTTCAGTCTCTCCTACCTTGGACCCACCGGACAGACATACCTAGCCAGAAGGAACATCCCTCCGATCTTGGGACTTCAGTCCCTTCACCCTCCGCAGGGAGTTCTCATCCTCTCACCCAGTCCTGGTCCTTAGGATGAGGTCGATTGCTTGGCCACTCGAAATCAGGCGCGCGCCTTACTGGCGGCAGCGGGGGGGGTTCAGCTGGACGGCGTGCCCGGCGAACCCCGGTGGGACAAACAGGGGTGATCCTGTCTTCGGTCCCTGGGCCGAAGGTGATCCTTCCCGCTGAATTGGCAGATGCTCCGTATATGCTCCGTGACACTTTTGTTTGGTTCAGCCTGGGTGCAATCTTTTAGTTTTATAGGACCTTCATGGTTCGTGGGTGTATAGTATATATGGGAGTTGATCGAAAACCCCGTGTAAGGAGTTTTATATAAAACAGCCTTTCAGATGTTGTTAGAACCATCCGCGAAAGATTCGCGATGAGGTTCGCTAAATGTATCTTTTTTTTCCGCGAAAGATTTATCGAAGGTCATCGCTTTCATACGTTTTCCTTTCTAAGGGACTGACAAAGAATAGAAATAGAAGGCAATCTTCCGGCAGAGCTGGTGGGCGGAAGTGTCCCCATATGTCACAGACTAACGAATTGAAGCCTCAATATTTCCGTGCCCAGCCCTGGCAGTGCGTAAAGGATTCTCCGATTCCAGTCCCCACTGTCATAGACAAGCAACCTGAGTAGGCGCAGCCCTGACAGTGAGGCAACGACCTGCAGCTGCTCTGACGGGCTGTGCAGATGTTTGCATACGGCTTCCCCGGGAAAGCGCCAGTGAAATTTCGCGAAAGATCCGCGAAAGTTTCGCGAATGTGCCGCTAAAGTCCAGGTCCCCAGCTTTGAGGCCCCCCAACATTCCCCAAGCTGCATCACCCTGTGTTGGTAGCTGGCACGAGGATTGGGTTGAGTTGCTCCACAGATGCTGCAAGTGACCCTGAGTAGCTGTGGAAACATTCAACTGGTCATGCTGCAAGATGTCTGTCCCTATGACATGTTCCGGCTCATGTTAGCTAGACATGGTTGTAGGACCATGCTTCGCGATGAGGCCGCGAAAGATCCGCGAAAGATATCTTTTTTTCCGCGAAGAATGGCCATTCCAGGATGAAAGAATATTGATCAACCACCATATATATATATATAATTCATGTTTCAGGTCTGGCAGGCTTGGGTGAACATGGCTTCATTTCTAACATAGCCTTGAACTAACGAACATTTTGGCTCAAGTGCCTTGGCCAAATTGCGTTTGTTCTCCCTTTTCCCACCCAACCCACCCTGGAGTAAGGGCCCCCTCTGGGATCTCCCTTAGCGAGCTAGCCTGGGGCATGCGCAGGGAACTGCGATCTGTCACAGAGATGGGTGGTGGAACCAGCCCCTACCAACTATTTATAAAGACCCTAGGTCAGGGCTGATGACCGGAGTGACCGGTCGTGGTTACCGGAGTGACCGGAGGTTAGCCACTGTTGGTCTGACTGTGACAGACCTACCAGTGCAGGTTACCCAACGCAAATCCTGCAGAGGCTTGCAGGTTGACAAAAGAGACCTTGGCAAGTGGACAGTAAAAAGGAAGTGAGCCGTAGCGACGAAACACGAGCTTGGATAGACATGTATATATAGTTACTAATGGGAGGAGCTGTCCAACCGAGCATTATGAGACGGATGGAAGTGGATCCCATGACGAGTGGTCCCTGTACAAGCCAAGCGTTGAACTCTGTCCGCCGAGTCCCTGTGTGAGCGTGGTGTGGACTTTTGAAAGCTCATCACATACAAGATCAAACTGGCTTCAGAGTTTGCAGCTGCAGATGTATTGCTTGACATTATTCGCATCAATCATCATAAGCTATTAGTTTCTGGTCATGTTATTATCAGTTTGCTCAGTCGATTTTTCAGGCACCACCGGCTCTGTTGTTTCGAGTGGGCCCTCCCTATGGATCGGACGGCCGACTCTTGGCAGGCGACCCCTACAAACTGGAAGACTATCATGGACCCTGAAAACCACTTGTTGGTGAGGAAAATCGTCTTCCATGGGGCCATTGGAGAAGGGTCTATGTTAGCTTTCGGGAGTGTAAGCCTTTGCAAATCTTTGCAACCACCCCAAGGTCGTAGGTAAATATGCCAGTTTCATGGGACGTTTGGGTTTGGCAGGCCATCCTGTACCGGATCTTCAGCTTGATCACCTTGCCGAGACCCCAACTGGAGCCTTGGCCTTCCGCGTGTTGGACTGGAGCGGGTTGGTAGGACCGGAGCAAAAGGGGGTGGTTTTCTCATGTTTTCTCCGGTGCCAAAAGAACAGACATGATTCGGACTGACCCTTTATCATGGCATGTTGTATTTCATACCCACTGATGGAGCGATTGAGAATTGTAAGTACAAGAATGTATATACAATCTTCCAGGGGGCCAGTGTCAGGGTCCATGTTGGTTTTCAGAAGGATACTTCCAGCGGAAAAAGGCAGTATCCCTGTACCCCTGGACAATCCGTTGGTGCATGACAAGCCTAGCAGGTGTGACTCAGAAGGGGGGTAAGACGCTGTGACATACGCCACGTTTGGAATTGGAGTGCAAGAAAAAAACACCCAAGCAGTTCCACGTCGGGGTATAGGTTTTTAGACCAGAAGTGAGTGGATCATAAACACCCCGACTTCTTGCATGAAGCACGGAACTGCGTGGGAGGAGATGATCTTCCGGGGATACCCAGAGACCCAGTTCCTCCAAGAACCACTCCTTCGCAACTGGATTTGGAATCAGCAGTTGGGTTGATGGGCAAGCACCGAGCAGCAGAATGGATGTGTGCTCACCAAGCGGTGCAGTTCAACTGCAAAGTTGGACCAAATGAGACTACAGGTACAGTGAATGGAGAGTAGATGGCACAATCACAATCCCCCTGTAGACCCCTATAGGCTCCGATCTAAAAAACATGTTGTGCCATCTACTCATACTCTGAATCCAGTGTCACTGTGCCGTGCTTGACTTCCGAGTTTCTCCA